TAGCGCCTGGTGCCCTCTAGTGGTGCAGGCGAGCCTTCCCTCCGCAGCTGGCCAGTGGGGCCTCCAGGACCAACTTCCCTGAGGCCTGCTGCGCAGGGAGCCGCCTGGGAGGGAACCGGAAGGAGGACTTGGACTCCGGAGGCCGGGGTCCTGACCCAGCTCCCCTAGTTGCTTAGCTGCTCACACACACACACCCTGCCTGTAGTGTGTGGGCTGCAGAAAGGGGGCAGGGGTGCTGTGGACAGCAGGGGAGTGCAGTCGGGCTCTCCAGCCCCTCGGAGCGCTGCTTAGCAACGGTTACCTAGGGACACGGATGAAGCCTGGTGTGTTTGTGCTCCCGCGTGGCCAATGGGGAGCCGTGGGGACATTTTTTTAACCTTCTAACTATGGAGCTGATACCTACGTGTGGCAACCGGCAAGCTAAAGTAAAACAAAGAAAAAAATCAAGTGGGAGGCCAGCCGCAATCCCACTGCCCCAAAGTAACTACTGTGCGCAGCGGGGACAGCGCTTTGGGGTGCTGAGGAGCGAGTTATGAAATGGGGACTGAGGCCTGCTCCAGGGGGAGGAGGCTGGGGAGGGCGGGGGTCAGCCCCCACCTCTTACCCCTCTCCTCGGGCTGCCTTGTCCTCTGCCTTCCGGTCTTTTCCTCATCTCTCTGCGTCCACATCTGTCCTCGGCCCCTGGGCACCTCAGGACAAGGCCAGGGTGTTGCTGACTGGGGTGCACGGAGGCCTCACGGGACACGTGGCATGGAGGGCGGGAGCGTTCAGCGTGTTTATTCCAAACGCTGCGCTACCCTCCACAGCAGCCTGTCTCCTAAAATGCTTGCAGGGGGCGTTCAGCTGCTTTCCGGAGTCTCAGGTGTCTGGGGAGACACGGCACAGCTCTGGACCCTCTGCCCAGAGCCGGGCACACTGGGGCCGTGGACCTCCTCTGGGAGCCAACCTCTGGCTCTGCCAGCCCAGGGCCAGCCAGCCCACTGAGAAAGAGGGCGCTGGGAGGGCAGGCCCGAGGTCCAAGGAAGAGATACCGGAACTGTTTTCCAAGAGGGACCCTTTCCCCGTTGCCGTGGAGGACTGGGGCCACAGCCACCTTCAGTCAAATCCGGCCCCGGCCAGACCCGGGCGAAGCTTGGAGGGGAAGGGCTCGCCTGAGCCCCATGTGCACCAAGGCATCAGCCAGGGCCCGGCAGTTGGGAGGATCTCAGTAAAGGTGTTGGGGTGGGTTTAGGCCTGGAACGGGTGGCCTCCTGTCACCTTGGGCAGCTTGCCCGCAGGCCTAGTGCATTCGTGCCTCAGACCGTGCTCCCCACAGACACAGGGGCTCGAGTCCCCTAGAACGATGACTTACAACTAAGAGCAAAAGCAGAAAAGCGGGGGTAATAAAAAATAAAGCTTTATTAAAGAGGCTGGAAATGG